CCTCTCCCACTCCCCCTGCTTGTGTTCCCTCTCTCACTGTGTCTCTCTCTGTCAAATAAATAAATAAAATCTTTAAAAAAAAAAAAAAAAAGAATACAAACTGCAGAGCAGTCAGCCCAGGGCTCACATCCCATCTCCGGCTCCCGGGACAGAAGGTGTCTCCGGAGAAGGAAGTAAGGAGAGCAAACACTCTGTCATTTCAGCCCTGGCCCCATTTGCTGCACCCCTTCACGCAGGGACCACCCACAGCCCCTGACTTGTGCAGAGGGAGGAGCAGAACACGGCCCTGTTCTCACGGGGCTCACAGCCCAGCTGAGAGCTAGAGGTGGGCCCAGCTGATTCTTACAGACAGGCCACAGACCCCTTTATTTCTCTAATAGAAGTATAACAAGGTGTTTCGGGAGCCCTGGGAGAAAATGCATGACTGTGTGTCGGGAGGCAGGGAGACAGGAACTGGGGCATGGTGTGCAGGGGGCGGGAGGAGGCAGGAGCTCACCCGGGGGAGAGCATGGGGTCAGCTCGGGGCAGAACTCAGGGCCTGCTCTCAGACAAATGAGGAGCTGGTGGTATTTCCCCTCTAGTCAATCCAGGGAGCGGGAGGAAGGAGGCATTGGTGAGTGAGCGAGCAATCTGCCCGTGAGTGGGAAGCATGGCTGGGACGGGGGGCAAATGCTCTTCAGACCAGAGCCCTTGGATCCGGCTCTCAGGGAGTCACCCACCTCCCTCCCTGAGCTGAGAAAGTAACCCCAAGATGCAGAGTGAGAGGGGGTCTTCCTCATGCAGGGGGCGTGCAGGCTTGGAAATGGACAAGGTGGTGACGGTAGCTTTCTTTCTCTGTGTTTGTTCAGTCTCGTTTCTCATCAAATATTTCTGCTACTTCCTCTGTGCTGGGCTCTTGAGCTCTGGCAAACAGCGGGGTGCGAGGACACTGCATAGTGGGGCATCGCTTTGTTTCGTGGGTTGTGAAGAAAAGTCAAAAGAGGCAACACCTTGACACAGACCTCAGGACGAGCAGGGTCAGGAGCGCAAAGGGGTGTGGGGTGGGGAGGGCTTTTGGAAAAGGGCCCCGATGTGTATGAGAGCTCTTGGCATGTTGGGGAACTGAAGGTCCAGAGCACCTGGGGCCCGGAGGCTGAGGGGAATCGGCAGGGCCAGGGCACCCGACTCCCACCGTGCAGGGGTGGGCAGAGCCAAGACTGGCCTGGGAAGCAGCATGACCTCGTGTGTGCTCTGCAGGCAGCTACAGGCAGGAAAGGACTGGGGGCGGGGGGCTGGACCCAGGGGGCCAGTGGGTGGTCACTGCAATCATGCAGGTGTCAGGTGATGGCAGCCCGGACTGGGGTCCTCAGTAGGCATGGAGAGAGCTGGACAGAGTGAGGCATTTTGGACTGGCCACTGACAGGGCTTGTCGACAGACTGGACCCAGAGACAGGCCACGGACAGAGGCTGTCAAGAAGGTGCCCGGGACCAGCTGCCTCCATGAGGGTCCCCATGCAAAACTGGAGAGGATCCACATGTTGACAGCAGTGCACCGAAGCAAGGGCGGGACCCAGCCGAGCCTACGCATGTTGCCGCCCCCAAAGCTGCTCCCGTGTCCCCGCTCCCGCGTCCCCCACAGGAAAGGGGGGCCGAGGGGACGGACCATGCGATACTTGCCTCCTTGCCTGGGACTCCCTTCTCTCCTGGCTCTCCCTACGGAACAGAACAGAGTATCAGGAGGCTCTGTGGCATCATCACATTGTCACCAAAACATTTCCACTCAAGTCATGTTCCAGCAAAGACGATCATCGATGGTCCAGCCAACCAAGGACAACTCAAGCAGGCTTCTCTCATCAGCCTGGCCAGAAGGCGGCAAAAAAATGCCCCAGAGCGGGAGGGGAAGCCACAGGTTCTGGGCTCCTTGTCAAAGGGATGGCTGGGACTCCAGGATACTGGCTTTACAGAGCGTCTAGTTGTGGTAGGGGGTGGTCCCGAGAAGCAGGCTCAGAGCGAGAAACAAGACGCCAGTGACGCTGGGCTCTGGAGCTAGCCTGCCCGCATTCAAATCCTGGCTGCTTCACCCACTGGCTCTGCGACCTTGGACAACGTCCTTATAATTTCTCAAGTTCTCTGTGCCTCAGTTTCTTCATCTGCGAAACGGGAGCAGAAGCTGGACCTTGCCCAAATTCCGTCTGCTATTATTGTGACCAGAAGCACGAGTGCTATAAGTCTAGAAGTGTGGGTACCAGACTGCTGCTTGGTGGCAGGGTGTTCCTAACGGGAGGGAGGAGGAGGCTGGGGCCTTTAATGGCTGGGCCACGGAGTGGAAGGGCTCAAGTAAAAATCAGTGGACAGAGCCACGTTAGGGCTTAAACTACATGGTAGAAATGGGCAAAAGAAAGGTTGCCACCTGGAGTGGCTGGGCTGGCTGGGCGGCAGGGGCACCCTCGGGGGTCAGAATTAACTAGAGGGGATGTACGGGAACGTGGGTATGCTTCCTATTCTTGCGTGGGACATACCACCATGATCCTGTGGTCAGCAGCCCACGGTGTGGACCATGGCATGCAGTATGCACCGGGAACTTGGCTGGACATATTTGAGTTCCCCAGCATCCATCAGCCCAGAAACCGAGCAAAGATCCCCTGGCAGCGTCTCTGGATCCCACTTTCTAGTCCAGAGGCCTGGGCTCAAGCAGCAGCTGGAGCGCAGACTGACCACGTGGCCTCAGGAAACCACCCACATGTTCTGACCCTGCAGCCAAACTCGGTCATCATTACAATGGTTTGGAAGGGCCCTTGAAGCTCTAGGACCGGAGGTGTGCGCTCTTATATCCCCACTTGAATAATGACAAAGCTCAGGCACAGAGGCTACGAGACTGGCCCGAGGTCCCACACTTTGGGAGTGTGGAGCTGAGAATCCCACGCAGCTGAGTGCACACCACTGCCCACCAACCACGACATGAGTGTGACCACACGGCCGGTGATGCCACCTGAGCAGGTGGACCCGAGGACACAGTGGGTGGCAGGAAACATACTGCCCTTGAACCTCCCCCCAGAGCTAGGCGTCTTGGCCCCCAGGAAGTTCTCAGCTTACCTGGGGCCCCCGGGGACCCAGAAAGCCAGGGAGTCCCGGGTTGCCGTGGTCTCCTTTGTTCCCCTTCTGGCCCTGCAGAGGGAGAACAGGCATTGGTTCTGCAAGGTCAAAGGCTGGCCCAAGGAGACTCAGAAACCTCATAACCCCGCTGTACTCTGAAGGCCTGAGACATCAACAGAGAGAAGGACACCCCTTTCCTGTATGGGAGGGCAGGGGGTCGGGGAGAGGCATGGCTACTGTGAGTCCTGACAGCACTGTGGGGGTGGGGCAGCAAGACTAGAAGCATCTCTTTCCAGTCAAAGCAACAGAAGCAACATGGGACAAATATGGCACAGAAACACTCCGCTGTGTGTGTGGCCTCTCCAAGGAGCCCTCCAGCAAGGTAGTGCACTTATTCCCAATAGCACAGCGAGGCTCATGGTTTGGTAGGATGGCTTTTTGGCAATAGCTCTAGGACCCTTTCAGTTCCAGCCTTTCCAGGCATGTGTGAGTCAGCTCTTCTGAGGCCAGCTCTGCGCTGGGCGTGAAGCCAGGCTCATGGCCCTGTCCCATCCCGTCTGCTCGGTCTCACCAGTGGTGACAAGCCCCACACCACGGCTTCTGAGGAACGTCATTACATGTGCTAAGGAGTTAAGCCCCTCTAGTGCAGCCATCCCTGGTCTAACAGAGAGACGTGTCCCTACTAGGGTGACCAGATGCCCGGTTTGCCTGCGAATGATGGGTTTCCCAAGATGCAGGATTTTCTGTGCTAAAACCAGGAAGATTCTTGGCCAACCAGGATGGGCCCGTCACCCTCATTTCCACAATGACAACAGCTGGCCGGCCAAGTGGTCTGCCCAATGCTTCGTGCAATCATTGCTCAACTCACCACGCCCTGAGGGAAGTGGTCTTCTGAACAGAGTTGCCAGTTTTAGCAAATAAATATACAAGAAGCCTGGGCTGGGAGGAAATCTGTGCACAGGATCTGACCCACCCAACCTCAGAACCCATCAGAGAACCATCTTCCCCACCATGTCCCCCATCTACCAGACCTAATCCCAAATCCAGGGACCTGGATTCTGATTATTCATGCCACCCTCTCTCCACCACCCATGGATCCTACCCATCGTTCCTTCCTGCTCTCCCCATCCCCCACCTCCTGACCACCAGGAAGACCCTCTTCAGCCAAGTCTGTCCTATACCCATTCCCATGTTACACACTTACCCTGTCATCTGAGATGTGAATGGCTGGGGACCTCACCCTGTCCTCCCATCCTCTAAAAATATGCAATGTTTACTGTGCAACCTTATTATACATTTTTTTTTTTTTTTAGTTCTTGGTAGGTCTGTACCTTTGGATGCCTGTGGTAGTAGACAACAGAGATTCAATGCATAATTGTATGCATTTTAGACTTTGAAAGAGGTCCTTATTGGATTCTCTTGCCTCCAGCCTATTTCTATGATTCAAACCCCTTATTTTTCTCTTGATGCTTCTAGCATAGAGAACATACCATCTGTAATGTGAAAGGCATGCCCATTTCAAAGCTTGCCTTGATTCTACCATACAGCAGGGGGAGTACTCACAGGACTTCCTGTGGGGCCAGGGTCTCCTGGAGATCCCGGTGATCCATTCTTACCCTGGTAGAAGAAACACAAGTAGTCATCTGTCAGGACCCTCCACCAGGACATCGAGGAACAGAGTGACTGCTGGATGTGGAGGACCTGATTTCATACCAGCAGCTATCATTCAGGCCCACATGGCTCTCAGTAAGCCATGTCATTACTCAGGGGATGTTTCTCAACTTCTAAAAGGAACTCATAACATTTACCTCAAAATATTGTGAATTAAACGAGTTTGTGTACTTGATAAAGCTTAGCCTGGTGAGTGCTGCTCAGGGCACAGGCATAGTAAATAATCATGACCTCATCCATCCACCCATCCAGCCAGCCAGCCAGCCAGCCAGCCATCCACCCATCCATCCAACCACCCATCCTAACATCTATCCATCCGTCCAACCATCCATCCATCCATCCATCCATCCATCCATCCATCCATCCATCCATCCTTCATCCTTCAACTCAGATCCTGTCTTAAGGAGCAACACAAAAGTGCTTATATTACTGCAATGCTATTCTCAGTTTAGGATGCTTGTCCCTGTGCTGATTTCATTTTACTCCTCCACTAGGGGCACCGTTATCCTGAAGAGATGAGGATGATGACACAGACAAGAAAAGTGGCCGTGCAGAATCCTGCAGCTACTAAATTGAAGGTCCACTCAATCCAGACTCCAGGACTGACCCAGACGAGTTAGCATTCTTTAACTCTGGCATTTTGATAAATGTATTTCACCAGTAAGATCCTTGGTAGTGTAGAACTCAGAAAGTTTAAGAATTCTCCTAGCTATACCTTTGAGGATCAGACAAATTCCTATTAAGCCTGAAGTTCAAAGCTTGGCTTCAGCAGACTGGGTTGGTCACTGCCTCTGCCCACCACTCTCCTCCCTCTTGGGAGCTCCCCCCACCAGATGGCTGTGTCTTCACCGGGCTCTTCCCTGCTGGGAGTAGCCCAAAGATCCGTGCATCTCCCCTCTCTGTCTAGGGCCAACATCTAGCACGGTGCCAGACACACAGAAGAAACTCTGCTGGAGAAGGAACCAAGAACATCACAGGAAACCACTCTCCATTGATCCTGTAACCAAAAAGTGCTAATGTCTTATAATCTGTGAAGCACACAGTCACCAGTGAGTCAGCTTCATGGAGCCATGTTACAGTAAAAAGCAGCTCACGCTGCCTGAGGACTCCCTCTACGCCGGCTTCACATGCTTGAACTCCCTGCACACGACAGATTCAAACGCTGCCATTTTATAAATGGGGAAACCAAGTCACAGAATGTCTACACCACCTGCCTGAGACAGAAGGGAAGGGGCTGAGACTGGAACCCAGGAAGCATGGAGCCCAGCCAGTGTTACCCCGGTGGTCATGATTAAATAGGGCTCACATCGTATGCCTGAGCAGCGTACGTGTGATCGTGGATGATTCACGCGGCGCATCTCCCGTAATCCTGCCAGGAAGCGTGAAGAGTGGCTGTCTTTATCCCTGTATCACAGATGAGGAGGCCGAGGCACAGAGAAAGCACAGCATCCACACGGGAGTGTTGCAGTTGGAGAAGCCCGTGGCTCTGTGGCTTCCCCCACTCACCCCTCCAGGGAATGTGGCGTGGTGGCTCCTCCCGGCACCTCCCTCCGCCCACCCACCAACCCATCTGTGTCCTTCTAAAAATATGTGCTTTGGCTCATCCCTATGGTAATTATCTCTCTCCTCCTGCTCCCTCCGGATTGCAGGGAGGCTAAGGGCCAAGACACATTAGCATGTGGTGCCAACACAGGGGGAGGACACAGGAGGGGCAGATCGGGGCGGACACCTGTCACCTGTCAGGGCGCGGGAGGCCGGCTGGGGCTGGGACCTGGCTCCCTCCTGGGCTGCAGGCCACTCCTCATCCCCCACTTGTCCTGAATGGAAGCCACAGTCCCCTCTTCACCTGCTCTGCGCTCCAAACTCCTGTCCCGGACCCCCTCCTACCAGTTCCCATCTTCCCGAGAAGGGAACGTCAGCTGCAGACTTGAATCAGACTGCCTGGATGTGAGTCCAAACCCTGGCTCTGCCACTTACCTGCTGTGTGATCTAGGGCAAGTTACCTGACCTCTCTGTGCCTCCGTTTCTCATCTGGGAGCAGGGACAGTAGTACCACCAGCCTCACAGGGCTCGGGGAGAACTCCATGAGTGAATTAGGCAAATGCTCGTGTGGTCCCTAGCACTGGGACTGCTAGCATTTCCTATACTCAGTGTCTGGTTCAAGGTGATGTGGAAGGTTGCCAGGAAACTTCCCTTCACTGGGGAAGGCCAATCAATTCCAAGTGAGCGAGGGAGGTCGTCAGTGATAACCTGATGCATTCAAGGAAGTGTCTGGCACACTCTAGCAGTTTACTGTTGGTTACCAAGTCCTTATGATGGTCCCTCAGAATTGATGGGGGCAAGTTAGAAAAACACAAAACTGCCTCTGGGGACCTCGGGTTTTCCCTGCCTCCTGCGTGTGGCATGTGAGGCCCCGGGCCTCCTCCCCCACACACCCACCCCGGAGCCCTCGCTCATCCCCACACGCGGCTTTCCCTTCCCTCTTCCATGCCCCTGGACACACTGGCATTCATCAGGGATTTACGGAGCATTACTTCGTGCCAGGAGACACTGGAGGGGGGCAGAGCCAAGCCCCCTCCTTCCTCCAGGAGCAGAGCCCGGCATGGAGCCCAGGGTGACCACTGACCACCTACCAGGCCCTTTCTGAGGGCTGGACACTATTCCATCATTTCACCAATTTAATTGCTGGATCTTGCAACTTCCCCTCACTTTCCAGATAAGCAATAGGCCCAGGGGAGGTGAAGGAACTCACCCCATCCACAGAACAAGTAAGACGCAGCTTAACTGCAGAGCTTGGAGAAGGAAGCTTGATGACGGGCCAGAAGGGGCCCCAGGGCCCGCCACTCCATGCCTGTGGGCTCAAGAGCTGGGTTTCTCCAACTTTCTGTCCTTACACTCCTGCCTAGTCTCCTCATCCTGTATGGAAGTTTAAGACCACAGGTTCACTGGGTATCTGTTTCTGGTCTGCATGCATATCTGTGTGTGATATATAAAGAGGAAGGGGTTTCGGCATCCCAAGAACCAATGTTTGCCCCCTGGAAGCGACAGCACCCCCACTAGGAATGCATGCCCCAGAGGGCCTGGGCTTTGGGGCTGGCCCGCAGGGACTGTCATTGGTAAAGAGCCCAAACTGGGGGTAGCCTCCTGGTCCCTGCATATCGGGATGGTGCTGAAGCCCCCAGGATCTGCAGGTGGACCCCACCAATGGGAGAGTGAATGCAGAACACACCACTCAGCTCTGTAAGCCAGTGCGTGCTGTCGGATGAACAAATGCCACATTGTAGAAAGAGGAAATGGACACGGTCAGTGAGCTGCCGCTATAGAGTGGGAAATTCGAAGCCAGGGCTGAGATGGAAACCCCAGAAAGCACGAATACTCTGCTCCTGAGCATGGATGTTACCCTGGAGCCAAACCCCCAGCACACAGTGTATCTATCACTACACACAGGGGACTCCTGCCTCACGGCTGAAAGGTGGCCCGCGTCCTGGTCTGAAGGCTGTCCTTCGTGCTCTTCCTCAGCCCCCTGGGACCCAGGCCCATGGGTGTGGAAGGCGTCTGGAAACCCTGCCCCCGCCACAGGCTGCTGAGTTAGGGTGGGGAGCGGGGTGTGAGCCACTGTGGCCCCATCAAGGGAGAAAGTGGCTCCTTCTGGTGAGCTCCAAAAAGATGCAGCATTCCAGTGCCTAAGACCCACCCCAGGTACCTCCTGTAGGGTCCTGAAGACAAAGAACATGGCCATGGTAGGTGCAGGGCACTGAATTTGGTGTCAGAAAATCTTGGGTTCAAATCCCACCTACAGCTCTTACCAGCCACTTACCCTAGACCCAGGAAGCCCATACATATCTAGGTTACATGTTATCCACTCATTGGTTTACTCCATACCTGTTCCAAATATACATACAAACACATACACCATACAAAACAAGCCAGCCACCAAGATGAAGTGCTGTGTAACAAACACGTATTCTATCGATAGGCTTATAGTTGTGTTGGAAGTAGTTTAAAATATACACAAAATGCTATTAACAGTGACTCCCTCTGGAGTGAAGGGGGCTGGGGTGGAAAGGGAATCTTCTTTTCATTTTAATTTTGCACTATTCCTTTTATCATTAGCATGGATCACAGTTGTGCTATCTCAACATAGGACCTTATTTGGAAATGAAGTCACTGAGGATATAATTAGCTTAATGAGGTCATTCTGGAGCAGGGTGGGCCCCAATCCAACACCACTCATCTTCTTATACAAGGGGGACATTTGGACATAGAGGCGCGCCCACGGGGAAGATACCAAGTCAAGAGGGAGGCAGAGATCAGGGTCATGTTTGCACAAGCTGAGGAACATCAGAGATTTCCGGGAAACCACCAAAAGCGAAGTGAGAGGCATGGAAGTGAGATTCTTTCTCACGGCCCTCAGAAGCAACGAACGCTGCCCACATCTTGATCTTGGACTTCTGGCTTCCAGAATGGTGAGACAGTAAATTTCTTAGACATTTAGCCTCCAGAATTGTGAGGCAATACATTTGTCGTTGAAGCAACTAAATTTGTGGTTCTTTGCTACGACAGCCCCAGCAAACTGATACGCAGATCACGCAGCAGATATGAGAACGACCTAAAGGGAAGTCGTCCAGGGCCCCTGCCATGCCAGGTGGCCCCTTTCACATGTCTGCATGGTGGGTAGGTGGTCCTAGAAAACAGCCTGGGGTGTGGGTAGGAGGCACTAGTGGGGCTTGGGGCCGTGGCTCTTTTCCACCTGCTAAGACATCCTGCCATTTGTAAACAACATCAGGGTTGATGCACCAACCAAATGTCACTGAGGTGACACGCTGAAACACTCACCGGGGGCCCCCTCAGTCCTTGGGGACCCTGTGGCCCTGTGGGTCCAGAATCACCCTGGAACAGAGAGACATCACGTTATCAGAGTGGCTTCCTGCAAAGGACAGAGACAAAGTTGCAAATGTGGACCAAACTTCTTCCAGTTCCCCACGAGAACTGGCTAGCTGTCCAAATGCTTCATCACTAATCTCTGGAGGTTCCAGGTACGGACAGGCTCATCTCCCGTAGATGAGTAAATGCACGCACACGGTTTATTTATTTTCTGGCTTCGACATTTTGCACCTGATCCCACAGTGATTTCCGGTAGCGCCATCTTGAACTAAGGGAAGCGACCAGAGAAGAGAAGCCGTCTTACAGTCCTGTTCCTGACTCACTGGACAGTGACCTGACCCACACTTGCTGCGCAGTCACTGGAGTAAGAAAAACACTACCCATGCAGCCGGCCCCTGGCAGGGTATAAAGTGCTAGTGACTCGGTACCACCTCATCTTCCGAGCAGCCTCACGGCATGGGGGTAAGTCTCTCCCACGTTATGAATGAAAACACTGAAGCGTGGCTGTGGTCCTTACCGACTAGACTCAACCACTCCAGGAAATGAAGCTGTACAATGAAGAGAGTTACACCTATAGCTGAGAAGGAGGGGACGAAGCGTTTGCCCCCTGATCCGGCATCCTGGCTCCCGTCCCAGCTGCTGCCTGACCTGCGGGGGGAGCTGAACTCCGCCACACCCCTGCCTGGGGAGCTCCTTCCACACACTCTGCTGTAAGTTGAATTGAGGGGGGATGGATTTTCAAGCTGCTCTTTGGCCTTGAGAGGCCGGGGTGTCTTTGGGGTCAGGGTGGGGAGAGGCCCCGCCCAGGTCAACGCAGCTGCTCTGTTTTTAGCTGCACACAGGGTGTGACCGGTTTTATCAAGCTGACTCTGCTACTGAGAGGAGAGACATGGGAGCTGGGTGGCATTTCCTCTAAGACCCCTCCCAGCTCTACCATCTCATGGTGGCGGATCAGCTGAGAAGACCATGCGCATTAAGAGACACAGGCGGCATGCCCTTCACCGGGGTTTAAAGGCAGGTCCTGAAGGAGGTAATGGGGTCCCAGGACCCTGTGCCCAGGCTCCTGACCAAACACCCACTGCCAGGAGGTCAACTGCTGTCCACACATGTTGACCTGGCCCTGTAGGATGTCACATATGATGTCCTCCCACCTCTGACAGCCTGGGCGACCACCAGTAAGTCCCTGGACCTCTCCGGCTCTCGGGTTTTCTGTCTGTACGACTAGAGTAAAAGACATCTTGCCTGCTCCCTACAGCAAGCCAGTGAGAGCAGGTGAGAGATACGAAGTGCCACACGGCTCATGGTAGTGGTGGCCGTGATGGATTCCTGAGGCTGCAGAGCAGTGCAGCTGGAGAAATAACCTGGGAGAGACTCCGCAATTCAAGCCCACGTGAGGCCGGACCCAACAGGCCTCCACGGATACCAACAGCTGGATCACCATGAAGTCAGCAAAGCCTCCTTAGCTACCGTGTGGCACAGATACTGGCCTGTGAGGCCGGACACCCAGATCCCAGGGCCCCCTTAGGACTCCAGGGAGGACCCGAGGGGCTGGCAGGAGAGACAGCACTGACCAGTGCTGAGAGAATCCACCTCCGCAGGCATCAACCCCCCTCCCCAGGTAGTTTCTCCTGACCCCTAAGCGATGCACACTTTCCACTTTCTCTCCACCACCCGCCCCCCCCGCAGGCCCAGCCAGGCCCCACAGGACACCCACACTTACATCTTTTCCGGGTGACCCTTCCCGGCCAGGGGGCCCCATGGCACCAGGCTCTCCCTAAAAGGGGGAAGCAGAAACAAAACACCTGCTGTGAGGGAAGAGAACGCAGAATGCCACCTGCCAGGTCTCTGCACACCTGGCCGGGGAAAGACCCAGGAGCACGGCCCACCAGAAAGAGCCCCATGGAGTCCTGGATGGAGCCGGGGTCTGCAGGGCCCCCACAGCCATCTTCCAGAGCCTGGACCCTACTGTGCCTCTCTGACCTGCAGGCACACCACCAGCCAAGGGTCATGCGAACGGGCTTGGAACTCTACCTCCTCACCCGCTGACCCATCAGACATCTCAGCTTTCCCATCACTAAACAGAGTGCGGCCAGGTGTTGGGTGGGACCGGCCACAGCCCCAGGAACAAGGAAGGCACCCGAGACCCCACTAACCAGTGGTCCTCCGAGGTTCCTTCTGTTTGGGGCATCTGAAGGTCAGGGAAGAAGCTAAAGGGTAAGAGTGTGGGCTCCGGGGTCTCTCCACCCGGGATGCACCGAAGCGCTCCCCACATTAGCTCAGGGCCTGTTGCACAGCTTGTGCACAGCACAGCCAAAAGGGGCGCCCTGACTCCAGGCTGATTGGGTCAGACAGGTCGCACCTCAATGTCTGGCCCCCAAAGGAACGTTTAGAAAAACCAGACCACGACCGGGGATGATGCTTCCCGTGATGCCCACTGTCTTCTCTCAGGGGACCAGGTGCTGTGCTGGCCTGCCCGGCCAGGACCCCCCGTCTAGAAGCACCAACTCAGTTCCGCCTGGGCTGACCTCCACGGCTAGACGCCCACTTACCCGGGGACCGGGTGCGCCAGAGTCGCCGGTGCGTCCTTTGAAGCCCTAGAAGAAAGAGAAGTTATTCCACCCAAGAGCAGGCTGGTAAGTTGAGAAGTGGTGTGGTGGTCCAGCCGAGTCCTGCCCCCGCTCACCGTGGCTCACTGGACACCTCCCATTCTGGACCCCAGGCTAGGCCAGGCCCTCGATGCTGGAGGACAGGATGATCAGGGGCACCACGGGCGGAGATGCAGGGCTAATCCCACAAATGCTCCAGAGTCGAGGGGTCACCCTACGTGTCTCCCGAGCTTCATCTTCCCCATCTCACACCACCTGGCTTGCAACCCCTCGGCCTGGGCCCTGGGGCACGTGCTTCCCTTGTAGACAACAACACTGCCTTCACCCCAGAGGTGGGTCTCAGGTGCCTTCCTTGTTCCTGGGGCTGTGGCCGGTCCCACCCAACACCCTCGTCCTGGGCCACGGTGCTGGGCCTCCCTGCACATAACAGCAACCTGGGGATCTATTACTCGAGCACCAAGCCCTGGGAGCTGAGCAGAAGCTGTTAGCAGAGCTGACACGATCATTTCTAACAGCCAGACCAAGCTGATTGTGTACTAATCCCCATTTCACACATGAGAAAGCTGAGTCTCTGAGAGAGAAAATACCCGCTCAGAGTCCCAGAGCCAGAAAGTAATCTGATTCCGATCTAGCGGCTCTGCCCTCACCCTTTCTCCACTGTTCTCCTTGCTCGGTCTGGGGTTCGACTCCTGGCAGGTGGGAATGGCCTCTCTCCAGCCCTGGTCTCAGAATGCTTTCCCCACCTGCTGAGACCCAGGGCATTCATGGTCTCCACCTGAGGGGCGCCTGCCCACCTGGCCACCTCACTGCGCCACATCCCAGACCCAGTGTCCTCGGTGGACTGCACACTCCACGCCTCCCTTCCTGCTCCATGTGTGTCCTCTCTTCCTGGCAGACCCCTTGCTCGTTGGAACATTGCTCCTGGCTGGAGGCCTCCTCCCTACCAGCCTCCTGTCCCCAACTCCATCTCCCTCACTGCTCACATGGTCACTCTCAAAGGCCCTCCTCGTACCTTTGTCATTAGGCATCCTTGCCAGAGCACCGCTCTGAGCTCCACCGCCCTGAGTGCCCTAGCCAGCTGGTCCCCAGCCAGTGGCGGGCACAGAGCAGGGACCTGGGTGGGCAGATGCCTGTGCACATAGCTGAGGCGGGGCCTGGAGTGAACCTCCCTTGTCCAGCACCCTCCCACAGATACAGACGGGCCGATGCGGCCCAGGGAAGTGGCTAGGAGAGACTGGGCTGAGGGCCTGTCCTGGCTCCTTGCCCGCAGTGGGGAGGGGAGGGAGCAGGGCAGTAGCAGGGGAGGAGGAGAAGGAGGAAAACCCCTGCGTGAAGCCCCTACCACATCCTGTGCTGCAGGCTTGTGCTCTCATTGCCCTGTAACAGGGTCCCGGGAGATGCACCGTATTTCTCCCGTTTTCTGTAAGAAGCAGGAGGCTCAGGCCTCTCTAGCACATTTAGAAGCAGGAGAGTCGTGATTCAAGCCCAGGTCTGTCTCTCTGCAAAGCATGCCCTCCTCAAGGTCACCCCTCAACTCAACGAGGCAGCAGTTTGTGGCCAAACTGGACCCTCCAGGGCCAAGCCCAAATACCTCCTGGCTGACTTTGCCAGGCTCTTCTCTGACCTTATGCCCTGATTTTAGGTCCTGGTTCCAAAAAGCAAATGAAGACTCTGCCGAGGAGAAGACCACACCAGAGCCTGGCCATCCGAAAAGAGAGACAACCTAGCGGCCTCTCTCATGTGGGGATTCTTACCCTGGAGAGGTGTTATCTAGCCTGCCTCTCCGGACGTGGGGAATAAGAAAGTATGACCTCTCCTGCCTCTGGGAGGGGGGCTCTGGGGATGCTTCGCAAGTAGCAGGCGGTGTGGTGACAGGTGCATGCTCTCAGAGGTCAAGAGATGCAGGGGACAAAGGAGGTCAGGAGCCCCGCCAGACGTTTCACACCCCTGCAAAGCCCCCAGCTAAGTGGCTGCATTTCACCTCCCCACTCTGAGCCTCGGGGGCCTCAGCTGTAACGCGGGGAGGTGTCCCCTGTCTGATGGGCTACAGTAAGGATGAGATGAGACACTGTCACCCAATTCAGGCCTGTCACAGTAGCCAGGAAGTGTCAGTAGCAGGCGGAGGAGGAGGTAAAGGGAGTCAGCTTGGATTTGATCCCAGATTCAACCGCTGTACCTTGGAGAAGTCAGCTTTCCCCTTAGAGTCCTAACATCATCTATAAACTGAGAAGAATAAAGTACCTGCCAGGCATCGCTTTGCAGAATTAATCTATGGAAAAGGCTGACTTTGGAGTCAGGTATGGAAGAGAGCCATGGCTCCCTACTTTGTAGCTGTGGATCTTGGGTGCTTTACTTCTCTTCACTGGGACTCAGTTTCCACATCTGTAAATGAGGATAGACCCTACTTCTGCAGAGTTGCCATCAGCATCGAATAAGAGATAAACCGTGCTCACCGCTGTTCAAAACAGGCCACTTTTCTTTCCCTGGAGAGAGGCAGGGCCTGCCTGGGTCCCAGCACCATCCTCAAAGACACTAGAATCCCCAATCCAGCCAGCTCAGAGCCGGGACCCTGGTGTGCTCTCCTCCCGTATGATCATGGACCGAAATACCAACTGAGGGAGCTTAACAGACTGTGCCAGGCACTTGACTGATAATTTTACCTTCCATCATCTCCTTTAATGCATACAACCACCCTACAGAAGGGGGAGACATTCTGATCCCCACTTCATAGAAGAAGAAACAGAGGTTCAGAACGGTCCCTTGGTGAAAATAAGTGACCAAGTAAAAGCTGAACCCACATTTATCTATCTCAAAGACTGTGTGGTTCTTCCAAGCTTGGCTCTCTGACCTACATCTTGCCAGCCAGAGGACCTGGGTCTTCTTTCACCTGTTTGGGTCTCTAGCTTCTGCCCCTGCACCGAGGTAGGATTCCTTGCAAGTCTCAACTGAGAAATGGGTCTTGCCTCAACGTGGGTCCCAGCAAATGGATCCCTTTGGCTAAAAGGAAGACCCTCTCCTCCAATAAGCCAGGAACCACCTTAAAAAAAACCAGCCACTAATTCTGTGTTTTAATTCTGACACAGGAGGTAGTATTCCCCACTCTTAGATTTGCTCTCCTAGTACAATCAGGTGAAAGGCAAGGAGATTTAGGAAAAAGGAAATTGATTTTTGTGTTTCAGTTCCTTCTTACTGAATGCTAGCCAGGTGAGTTATTGATTTTCACAGAAAAATACATTAAGGAAATAGAAGTGGCATTTTGATCTCCTACTTCTTGCCAGATAAGTGGGTTTTAGGATTGTCATTAAAAATAATATATTTTTTCCTAAAACCAAATTTATGGGATTATGTAAGCAATTTTTAAATTATGAAGAAGTAAAACATTTAGAAAAAAAAAAAAAACCCAACCCCAAAATATACAACTCATTTTTATAGAAAAATTATCTATGCATGTTTACATGTACATTAGCCTGGAAGCTGGAAATAGATGGATATATAAATATAAATGTCAGAATTCATACATAGAAAAGAGTCAGATTCATACAGACTTCATACATACATTCCTAAGATCTAGAAAGAATACACGTAAATGTTAACAGAGCTTTACCTCTGTGTTGCAGAATTACGAGTAACTCTATTATATTCTCTATAACATTATTTTTCTTATTGTTTTTATATTTTTGCCATCATTGTCATTGGTATACAATGAGAATGGGTTACTTTTATAATCGGGGGAAAAAAACCTTTAGCCACGGAAAGTGTTCAAAAATAAGATTTATTTTTAGGTCCTATCATCCAGAGAAAGCCCATTAAAATCATACTAAATAGGTTAAGAACAAAGAAAACTTAGAATAACAAGATGGCAACAATGGTTGTAATTTTGAAAATGCATTTTATAGCCACGCTCGTGAAAGAACTGAATTTATTACTTCGTAGAAGCACCGATGTCTTGGAAGAGAGGTACTTCTGGAAATCCAGGGTGGGGCGGGCACAGCGTATGAGCCGTGAGGCTGACGGCTGCGTTCTACATGGACAACGTGCACACACACACACACACACACA